TGTTCTGTACTATACTATACTATACTATACTATAAGCCCACTAGACTACACTATAGTAGACTATACTATAAGTCTACTGTACTATACTACACCGCAGTATACTATACTATACTGTATTGTTCTGTACTGTACTGTACTATACTATACTATACTATACTATACTATACTATACTACACTACACTATACTATACTGTTCTGTACTATACTATGCTATACTATACGATAAGCCTACTGTACTATACTACACTACAGTATACTATACTATACTATACTATATTGTTCTGTACTATACTATGCTATACTATAGGTCTACTAGACTAGACTATAGTAGACTATACTATAATCCTACTGTACTATACTACACTACAGTATACTATACTATACTATACTATACTATACTACACTATACTATACTATATTGTTCTGTACTATACTATACTATGCTATACTATACTATAAGCCTACTAGACTAGACTAGACTATAGTAGACTATAATATAAGCCTACTGTACTGTATTACACTACAGTATACTATACTATACTACACTATACTATAAGCCTGCTAGACTAGACTAGTAGACTATACTATAAGTCTACTGTACTATACTACACTACAGTATACTATACTATACTATACTATACTATACTATACTATAAGCCTACTGTACTATACTACACTACAGTATACTATACTATACTATACTATACTATACTATACTATAATCCTACTGTACTACACTACAGTATACTATACTATACTGTACTGCACTGCACTATACTATAAGCCTACTATGCTATACTATACAATACAATACTATACTAGACTAGACTAGACTAGACTAGACTATAGTAGACTATACTATAAGCCTACTGTACTATACTACACTACAGTATACTATACTATATTGTTCTGTACTATACTATACTATACTATACTATACTATAAGCCTACTTTACCATACTATACTGTACTGTACTCTACTATACTATACTATAAGTCTACTGTACTACACTACACTACATTATACTATACAATACTACAATGAGCTGTATTATAGGAATACTTACTATACTGTAATACACTGCACTATATTATACTATACAGATTAAAAATTATTTAGCCTCTAGCATTAACATTTAACATTTAGCATCTTATATAAAAGTATTAAATTTTACATACATTTTATATAATTCAAAGGACTGGGTAAAGGACTGGCTGGAGTAGATTAGACTGCTACAACATGCTTTATTATACTGTATTGCACTACACCATACTTAACCTTACTACACTGCACTATATAATACTTTACTATTCCATAGAATTTCAGTAGCCTTTGACCATTGGTTTCCATGAGAATCAGGTCATTGTCATTATGTGGCACATCTTACAGCACTGTTGGTTTAGGGGAATAAAAATGTCATTTGTTTTGAGTAATATGTTTTCAACAGTTACTCTGTGCCAGGGGTACTTTTTCAGCTTTCATATTGTTTGGTGTGATTACTGGCACTGTGCAGATATGGAGTGTTTCTCTCATCCGGTGCTCACATGGAGTTCTTTAACTCACCGGCTTTAGCAGGAATGATTCCTGTCAGGCTGCATCTCCGCGCTTCCTGCAGTCCTGCTCCATTCGTTCAGACCAGAAACAATGATTCATAAGCCTCATCAGTAAACAAGGCCCAGTGACTCAGCAGGAGGAAAAACACATTCTGCCTGTCACATTTGAAAGTCAATGAGCTCCACTGTTCTTTGATACATTGCACCAGCTAGCCACAAAAAAGGGAAATTTGGTGTACATTCAATCATCTTTCTTTTAATCTTTATTTTAATCTCTTTTTTTTTTCATTTTTACTGCTAAGTTTTTAATGAGTTGTTGACACTGATGATCCCAAACATCTGCTGGACCCTCACAGTTCATGACGGGATAAAACCAATTAGACAGCACCATCCCCGAGCTGGAGTTTTGTGGCTCTCAAGCATGTGTGAAACTCATCAGCTCAAGCTTCATCTGCCAGCCGACTTCCCAATGGATCATTTCTCCTCGCCTTTGTCTGCACATTGGTGTGTAAAGCCTTTTGTATTGTCAAGGTTGTCTTTAAAAGAACAGAATTGTTGATAGATTAAAAAAAATAGCGTACATCAGCAGAGTTTGAATACTGATCCCGATCACCTGAAGACCTGCATTTGCATTTTTAAATTTGCTTCAGGCAGAGTTCTGAGGGGCTTTGTGGACCTCTCCGCCTTGTATTTGAATTACTTGATACTTTTTTTTTTCAAGTGCATAAAAAAAGATGATTTTCTAAACTAACAATTGTGAACAGTTTTTTGTAGTAACTATGAACATCTTCTGCCCGCAGGGAAGACTACTTTTTATATGATAAACAACCTCTGTACCCTTAGGAAAGACATACGGCTCTACAAACATGAGGATAACTTTTATTATCTCTTTAATGTAACTTGCGGATGTGTTGCATTTTCAATTTACAGTGATTTCACAGTGAATTTACATTCATTTGAAATGTCAACAATTGCTTGTGTACATTCAGTAATGCAGTTACAACAACCATGACATGACCATTACCACAGAAAAATAATGACAGTGCTCCTCCCTTTAATACTGTTTCTAGAGAAAACAGTGCAATATTTAGAACTGGAACCAGTGCTTTTCTAAACAGTAGAAAGATACCATAAAAAACTAATCTGCAGTCAGGTTACTGTATATAAAATCAACTCTTGTTTGACTATGAAATTTGGTCCTTTTAATTTCTTATCTACATTTTATCTCTACAGGCAATCAATTTAAAGTATAGAGCTGCTAATAGATTTTTTTTTATTTTACTATATTGTCAACAAATCCCATGATAAGGCCAAAACCAACAATGTATTAGTCTGTCTGTCAGTACTTTCTCTCTGGGGCTTGAAGCCCAAAGCCCATTTGTTCCAAGTGACAGGACAGGACACAATGAATAGTTTAAAATGCTCAATAATTATCTGAAACAGAAGATTTTGGCAAATGCTGCTCAAATGGAGGTACATAATTTGAGATTTTTTAAAAATGCAAATGTAATAAACAGTTAGGAAGAAGGTGCAGGGTTTGGCAGATAAGAGTTAGGATCAAGTCATTCTTGGGTTTGGTCTTATTCACCTGGGTTATGACTGGATAACAATGATGCTGATAACCACTAATAACACCCACTCAATCCAGTTTTCATAGGTTTTGTTTATAACTGCAAAAACATAGAACAACACCAGCCTCATATTTATTTATTTTATTTTTTTCAATAGTGCCAAATCACTACTACATTTATGTCCACTGTCTTGTAGTCCAGCTGATAATTGCTATTGGAATAGCTGCTATTTAGAATTAGTTAAAAATCATTATGCAAACAAATGCATTTAATGTCATGTGACATAATGGGAAGTATTACGTTTAAAACATTGCTGCCCTTTTGGCAGCGTCCTCCCGTTAAAAACACAGTTACATTTATGTTAAGTACAACCAGTCAATAATTCTCCACTGCACTTCCGCAGTGTGAGCATGAAAGCACACTCACAATTCTGATGTATTCTTTTTAAGGTTAGCATTTTGGCTCATTATCTTCATCCTGAAGAAGGTGACATGATGATTTAGAAACTGAAAATTAAAAAAAACTTGAATCTGAGAGTGCAGCGTTCCTACCTGTGAGCCAGCACCTCCTCAGTTTGGGTGTGTTTTCCTACAGGTCTCTATGCAGTGAATCAAACATGAGGCAAGAAAAGCAGATTAAAACTGTAAATGTTGTTGCACGCTGTCTATGAGCAAGATAAGTTATAGGCTACAATTTTATTCTCTGTGATAACTGAAAGACATTACAGCTTGTTCTGTTTCATAGCCGTTGTGTGTGTCCAGTAAAACTGCAGCTGGTGCCAAGTCCTACTATACACCCTCACATCTGACACTGCACAGTCAGTGTAACAGCATCTCCTCCGTCTCCTGGACTTCCCTCTTCTCTCCCATCCCTGTCCATACACATTTCCTTTTCCCACCTTCTTATAACACCTTATTTCATTAAAGTGTAGACAAGCTATCCTCCTTATCAACAGCCAGCAATAGCTTATTTTTCTCTGCACCTTTTAATAACCCCATAAGGTTTTTCAGTCCATTCCCAGGCAATCCGAGCAGCATGGGAGGTCCAAGCAGCCCTGCCAGCGGCTTCATATCAGCGCAGCCCTGCCACTTCAACAAGGAAAATGTCACTTTTGATATCTCCCCCTGGTTATTGTCAGGGTGGGGAGTCTAACCCGGATAATGAAGTAAAAAAGGAAAAGCTGTGGGAGGAAAAATGGTCTCTGGTCAAAGTCTGTGTATTCACCGACTCTGCTTGACGCTGTTCATTTATAATTTTTTTTAATGTGTGTGTATAATTTCTCTCCTTCTGTTTTTTTGCACTGCCATTTATTTTGTCATTATGTTTGACTTTAAACATCAGATTTTGTTTTTGTGTTTTTTTGTTGCCTGTATCCTCACCAACGTTGTACTCTTCTCCTCGGAGATATTAAGAATGCACAGACACGTTTGTTTGTCAAGATAGCTCAGTGCATAACAATGACAGCATAAGTACAACACCAGCACGTGTTACTCATTAGACATTTAATCACTTCTAACAACCATGTGCTCGCTAGCATTGTCACTATTTCATGTCATGGTGTGTAGGCCGTGAGTAGACATAAAAGAAAAGAGATCCCAACAAGATCTGTGATCAGCTCAGCTGGTGCGAGACCAGGCGATGCGTCTCAGTGTCATTGTTGGGTGTGCATTATTTAATGCACTGCCGTTGCCAATTCATCAAAAGGTCTGCAGCCGACCTTTAACTCACACACACATGCTGACACACAATGAGCTGTTGGTCATATATCAATCAGCGATACCATCGCGTCACACTGACTTTACTTTATCTTCATGGCCTTTTTTACTCATTTGTTTTCCCCCCTGTGTTTGTCATGTATTTGTCCTCTCATCCAGATGCTCCCACCACTACCCCTATACCCACCACAGCCACAAACACCACCACCACCATCACCACCACCATCTCCTACCCCGAAGCCAATCAAGGTACAGTATCACCCTCACACAGCCTGTTTATCTGTGTGTATGTGTGTGTGTGAATGTGTGTGTGAATGTGTGCTCCCTTATACCCCGCACAGCCTTGAATCACTCCTTATATCTCCATCTTCATGCCACAGTGGGAGTCATATTCATATGCATGTTCCTTCATCGATGGGTTAAGGTCACACAGTTTCTGTCATCATTTACCCTTTTTTTTAAAAGCTTCTACAGTCAATTCCAGTCATCATTTACCAGGTAAAAAGTCATGGACAAGGCAAAAACACGTATTCACATACTGTACATTCTCAAATACAGTAAAAGCCAGTATTAAGATGGTAATGGCTGAGCGTCAAATATTTATTTTACACTTATTTTCCATTCACTTATGAAGACTGTGAGAAACAGAAACCTACAAACTAAACTAGTAAATGGATCTTAGGTTTAGATTGTTTTTGTTGCACATCTTGATCCCAAGGTCAATATTAAACTCCCATGATTTTGGGAACTTTGCTTTTTCATGCCTCCTCACTGGCGATTTCTGTGGCCGGACACATTATGTTTTTGTTGTTGGTTGTCCGTCCATCCACACATTCACATGTCTGTCCTACGATATATAATGAATGACTTGACTTTTTGTTTTGTTTTTTGTTTTTTCAAATTTGGCACAACTATCGACTTGGATTCACCAGTGAACTGATTACATTTTGGTTGTCATAGGTCAGTGGTCAAGGTCACTTCTACTTCGTCTGTCTTATTCTCATAAATGTCATACCTCAACAAAAACTTGAGGGTATTTCTTCACATTGGCGACACACCTCCACTTGGACTCAACAATGGAATGATTAGATTTCGGTGATCAGAGGTCAAGGTCACTTTGACCTTGCATGTGTCTCATTCTCGTGAACTTAATACCTCATGGGAATTTCCTCAGATTGTCACAAACATCTACTTGGACTCAGCAATTAACTGATTAGAATTCATTGATCAAATGTCAAGGTCACTGTGACCTTAAAAATCATGTTTTGGGCCAAAACTCAAAAATTCATATGCAAACTATGACAGAATTTCACACAAACATCTTATAGGATAAAATAATGAAATTATAATGTTTTATATCCAAAAAGTCAAAGGTCAACTTCACTGTGACATCATAATGTTCTGCCAAAACACTTTTCTGGCCTTTACTCAACACCATATCTCAGGAACAGAAGGGGAGACATTTGGTCAGATACTGAATTGGTGACTCTAATCTGAGTGAGTGTAAATCATTACAATTCCCTTGTTTGCATGTTACATTTGAACTTTTGGCAGAGCCAGGGGCCTGATGCATAGAGCTCTGTGAAGATTCACGACTAAAACAGTGTGTGCACACAAAGAAAGAAATATACACATGAATTATGAAGCCACAGGTATACCGAATTCTGTTTTATAAATCTCAGTCGTTATGTAACTGGGCTCACATACACAAGCTTCATTTCCACTCCCACACTTTAGCCATAAATAGATGCAGAAACATCTGAAAACGTCTGTTTGCATAATGATATTTGTGCCCTCTTCACCACTCATCAGACCTGTCAAAGAGAGATACAGTTAAGAAGAAGTGCAATTTAGACTTCCACTGTTGCTCTCCAATGGTGCCAGAGGAACAGTTGTCATTACGTGCAACTGTACCAGTAGTTCAACATGTTTCTGCAAACCACGGTCGCAGTAAAACCTCAATCATCATTATTATTAAACATCAGAATGATGATCAATGATATTTTCATAGTGCTGTTAGAACAGAAAACAAAGTCTTACTTCACAATTCAGGATGAAATTAAGAAATCACTAACAGAGATGACGGATAAAATGTAAATAGAATTAATGATAAAATTCACCACTCATTTGCTACAATATTTTTATTGTGGTATTTCCAATTATAACAAGCAGTACATATATATAATTAAAAATGATCAGTCTTGTCACCAAATACAGTCATTCTGCTCACACAGGCAGTGTGGCCGGAGCGCAAGCTTGATTCCAGCTTTGTTCTGAACAACCAGAGAGACTGAGATGAGATTGATCTATATTCTCATCCCACTCTGCACCCAAAAGCATATATTTCCCAAAATTATTTGACTATGTCTTTAACTCTAAAGCAAATATTATTAACCATTTTTGCAAAACTGGTATCACAGTGTAACTCCTGTGGTAAATAATTGCTCTCTAACAAGTGCATCTAATGAATGCATAAGTGGATTTGTGCATGTGAGGCAATGAACAACTTGTCAATCATTCTCTGACTTCTCTGACTTTCACATTTTTCTTAAGCACAGCTGTTGTAAGGTTGCAAACTTTGCTCATGATGATTCACAACTATTATGCACAAACGCTCCACAAAACGTTGGTTAACGTGGAAACATGACAGATAAAAATAGACTTTGATGGAATGTATACAACCGCATCTATCACAGTCACGATTCAAGAGTAATTACAGCGCTCCACTGCACAGAATGATGTGCCCCCACAAGCTTTTCTACTTTTTCCAAATGAGTGTGTGGGTGCATACAGGTGTTGGGATTGAAAGAACAAATCGTAGGCCAAGGCCTAGCTCACATAGCAACCTCGTGGCCGTCAATACTGCTCATTCACTGCTTTGTTCCCTGAATCCTTTGACGACAGGCCCAGTTAAGTCCCCCCCCTCCTAAACTGCTACTCCATCACAGGAGGAATACAATCATTACAGATGTAAATAGCAGTGTAAATTCCCTTGACATGGCATGATGGGAAAAACTCAAGCAAACAAATTGCTAAGAAGGCTGTAAATGATGAACCATGGATCCTGGGTTCACTGTGGTAATTCTATGAGTTTGATAATTGTTCTATAACATTTACTCACAGCAGACACAAGAATTGCCTTTTATATGAAACACATCTCTCATTCATAAAGTCAATTATAGATCATACACTAGGTGGGTTGTGGGAAGAGGGTAGCAGTGGGGATGAACAATAACTGAACACGAGCACTTGAAAATTAGGCCCTTTTGAAATAAGCAAATTTTATCTCGCTCTTTCAGAAACAGAACTCGGGGCTATTGTGAGTATAAATCTCCAAAGGGTGTAGATAGAAAACATCACTTTATGCCTCGACTCAGAAATCAGCCTGAGCTCCAAATGCAATCAAAGCCTCTCTGACAGACCGCTCAATTGGAACAAATCTCACGAGGCTGGCAGAAATCACAGGCATTGTGCTTGATTATGCCATCTGATTGGATTAAAGAGAATACCTATCTATGCAGGCTGATTGATAGCTCCTTTGCCTCAGATCAAGGAGCCTAGAGTCTGCACAGGCCCGTTCTGATTATAGCTATCCAGGCTGATTCCCACTCGGATCTATGCTGATTATTCCTAATGCGCCTGCTGAGAATAATAGAGTTACTTTATAGGTAAATAATAATACTGGAGACTTGTATTTTCCGAAGATTACTTGCACAAAATGTATGAATTAGTCAATGAATAAAAGTGAGGCTGAGTAGTTTTTAACTTAGAAGAAGAAATAACACAGTCACAAAAACAAAATTACAAAAGAAAACAAACAAAAACAATGCAATTTTTCTCAATTTAACTCACTCATGACCTTTGCTGCAACAACCTTATTTGGTTTTGTAAGACCAGTAGTTTATAATGTCACCTAATGTAAACAAAAATAAATGTCCTAATTTGATTATTCCTTGATGTTGCCATTTATTGCCACAGTGCCCACTGTTCAGACTATGTTTCACTGACTACTTTTACATGCACAAAATAATCCGATATTTGCCCTGACTCCGCAAAAAGAAATTATATTCTTACTAAGCTTTTTACATGGCTAATGAAAATGAATATTCAATTAATATTCCCATTCAAACAAGGCCATGCATACACTGGTTAACCTGCCCTAACATGTTGTTTATCACATCGAAATATGTAAAAGTGGAAAACTCGTTGGACCGTGCAAACACAGCCTCTCTCTTTCATCCCCTTAGACACCGTCTTGAAAAAGTCTGTGTTGGGATATTTGTGCATATCAAAAAAACTGCTGATATCCAAGTCTTTCATAATGTTTAAAAGTAGGTGTTTGCCTTCTCAGCCAGAAATTTGAGCCTTTCTTTTGGGCGTGCATGTCTGCCCTAGCCCTGCAAACCTTAAGCAAGTTAGTTAGTGTACAACGCACAAAGCTGACCATGAACAAACGAGATGCCATGTGTCGCAAACTGCAGTAACTCTGATTGTGCTGTTTACATGTCCAAAGAATGCTCCTACAACCCAAATAATACTGGCCTGTCCCTTGTCTTAATTGTTCAATGCTACATTCTGTGTAAGGACTAATTCATAGTATCCAAATGCAATATGCTGTTTACAGGACCGCTATCAAATTTAGAACATTGTTTTATTCAGGATAATAGTGGAATATTAGTTTACATGTGAGTAGCCCATTGTCTCATTTCAACGGTCGCATTTCTGCACATTCACAAAATTTAATTTCTTGTCATTTGTCAGTTTCTGATTTTGGTTGTGCAAAAATGCATGCAAATCTGTGCTCATTAGATATTGTTTAAAATTCATAATTTAACTGTCTGTTTTCCTGTGCAATGAGGGTTTAATGCAACATTTCCAACCTTTTCTCATTCCAAAGTCGTCAAATACAACCACTTGGTCAGTGATTTCGTCGTCAGACACTGATGTAAAAAGCCATCCAAAAACCATCCAACCAATCCAGTCTCACGCTGAAGTCACAGAATACCAGCACTTGGGCAGTGACTTCCAGCGTCAGACCCCGACGAATAAAGCTGTTCTTTCACTTTGGCATGATATGCGGCCAGTCGCTGTTGTTTAATGACGACCAGCAGCGTCAGGGGGAAACACAAGAGGACAGCAACGTTAGTAAAGGGGGCGGAAGTCCAAGTAGGCTGGGTGGGAGGGGTGGTGTAGGGTTCAATAGTCTGAGTGGGCGGAAGTTCACTGCATAGATCAGCCTCTCATTGGGC